TACAATTGGAATACATATATATATATATATATATATATATATATAGTAGTGAACATAGAAATCAAAACTTAGAGGCGACAGTCTGTTTCATGCAATGTCAGGCCACCATATATATATATATATATATATATATATATATATATATATATATATACAACTTTTGGGGCAGTTATTAAGTAAATCATATAAACTTCAATAATTCAAATTTGGTGTCTGTCTGAGATGAGGTATTATTTACACTATTTACATTATTCGGACTATTGTCCTCATCTTTGTTGCTATATTTATCACAACGTTTCGGTCGTTGTATGCTCCGGCTTTCTTCAGGAGGTTGGATTGTCGAACTGAACACAGAAATTCATACACAGATATCCTTAAAGACAGATGGCACAGTGGATTAACGAGTTGTTTAGATGCAGTGACAGGACCCAAAGAGTTGTGGGTTTAAATACCTGATTAAGGATGTGGAGAATTTGGACAGGTGATTTAACAGGAGATAACTGATAACTGACATCCATTAGACATGACACCTAGAACTAGAACAGTGTACCCCAGTGAGCAAAATAAAGCTTTCAGTTCGACATTCCAACCACCTGAAGAAGGCCAGAGCGTACAACGGCCGAAACGTTGTGATAAATATGGCAACAAAGATGGGGCCAATAGTCCGAATAATGTAAATAATTCAAATTTGGTTTGAAAAGAAAAAGTCAAATTTTAAACAATCAATTTAGTTATCAAAACAAAGGTAAATTTATTGAAGTTATTTGATGTATTCTAAAAACTGTTGTTTGAAGGTTTTAGGCAAAACCAAATAATCACATTTTACTTCAATAAAAACCTAATAAAATCATCAAAAATTCATAATTTTTCATATAATAGAACAAATAATAACACATAATAAGTCTTTGAGGGAGGCACGGTGGTGCAATGGATAGCGGCTTGGATTGAGGAATCGGAGAGCCGAGTTCGAATTCCAGTCGAATCCATTACATTCACTTACGTGCTAATACCCTTGGGAAAGGTATGAATCCTCTTCCTCTCCCTCCAGCTATGGGTAAAATAGCAGGACAGACTGGGATCTATAGCCTTAGATGGCAACTGGTCTAGGAGAGGGACAACTCTGAATTCAAAACCTGCGGAGAGTGAATGGAGTCTCTCTGAGCCGTGGTTGGCTATCCATTTAGTGATGGTGTCACGTTAAGAACACCCTTGATAGCCCTAGCGAAGCATCAAGAATTCAGCTATTTGACAAGATTATGAATTACACCAATCAGAGTATTAGCTATGACAGATAAGGAATACTGGAAAGGTGTAGTGAGTTCAATCTCGGCTGAGGCCGCAAGATGATGATGAAGTCTTTGAATCATTTACATTTTAATATTGTGACCCTTCATCTCAATAACAGCCAATAAACTATTATCCTTTAATTTTGTTCATTTTCTTACATCAGCATGTTTAATCTCCGACATGGTAGTTTTAATTGCTTCCCATAGGGCTGCTTTGCTGTTATACTGTTTGCCATCTTCACATAATTTCATCTCCACAGATTTCCGTTTGGATTCACATCAGAAGTTGATGGCAGCCATTTCAATATCTTCTCTCCTGTAAATCTTTTATGGTCAAAGAATTCACGGGTAAGCTTAGATACATGAAAAGGAACATTGACGTGCATAACTACACACTTGGCTTCGAAACTGCGAGATTAGGGCTTGTGCCATGCAATTAAAGTCCTGTTCATAATATCGCATTAGTTGCACTGTACAGATTAACTCCTTCATTGACTTTGAATGGTCTAATAATTGTTTGGCCGATAATCCAAGCCCATATCATAACTCCTTGTTGCATACTTTTGGGCCCAGGCACATCTGAATTGGATAAAATCCATCCTTTTGTCCATCCATCAGGTCCATCGTCACTTGAGATTCACCTGTCGAAAGTCAATATTCACATATTTCTTGGCACAATTCTGACGCTTTAAAATATTTGTTTTAGTGAGAGGAGATTTCCGAGGTGATTTTTTTTTTACAGATCTCAATTCACAAGGTATTCTACACCTTTTGTTCTTCTTGACTCCCACAATTACAGTCTTTTCAAAGATCTGAGCGCTGGTCAAAAATGGTTATTTTGCTATAATTCTTTAGTTTATGTTCATCTCGAGGAAGTGAGTTCTTAAAGCTTTTTCCTCCTCTTCGAGTTCTTAGCTTACATATATTTTCAACAGCCTTCTTTATCGTTCAATGATCTCTTCAAAAATCCTTTGGTATCTCAAATGTGGAAATTCCTTCACACAATAATTTCCTGTTTTTCAGTATTTGTTAGATCTTTCCCTTTACCCATGTTTCAACATATATTATTGGCAAAAAGAAAAATTATTTTTTATTACATTTCAGAGGTCTTAAGTTAATATTATTTTAATCTGTATATAAACTTCAGTCATACCCTTTTCGTAAATTCAAAATATCTCAAAAACTAACCATTAAAAATGGCTGAAAATTTTCTT